CTGCTCTCGGGCTGGGAGAACTGGAGGATTCGAACTCCAGGCCCAGCAGAGCAGCGACTCACTGGCCAGAGCTGGAGAACTGAGTCACTCGGTGCAGTGTCCCCATGTGACGTTGTCTCTCCCCAGGTGTGAGACGGGGCCGTTCCAGCCGCCAGAGGAGATTTCTCCTGAACTGGGCGAGCGAGTCAGGGGTTTCTCCCGGCAAACGACTGCGCTGTCGGAGACGCTGAGGCAGTTCACAGGTACCGAGAAGGGAGGGGGGAGAGAGTGAAGCGTCTGAGGCCATGGTTAGATGAAGTTTCTGTTGAATTGTGAGGTGAGAATGGCGCCCACGTGCCATCCCAGAATTCAGGTGGATTCATTGAACCTTATTTGTTCCAAAAGCTGCTTTGTAATTGCAGCGACGATTAGAGCACAAAATGGCCGACAGACCGAAACATGCCCAGCTCCGTGCTGCTCTCTGTAGGGACACTGAGTACACAGACCCCACGGCTCACAGGTAGAACCAGGAGTTTGCAAATTCTGAATTTCCCGCTCGTGTCCAAGGAACCAAAGTGGGTGAAGTTATTTGGAGGCCCAAGTCTTTTCAGGATCTGGGCCTAGGCTGTGACAAATGTCAGGGAGCGAATGAGCCAAACCCTGTGGAGTCTGAAGAGCGTAGGGGGGATTTTGAGGAGAAAGCGAATCTCTTCGCGGATTGTCCTGGGGTGGCTATGAGGTGGCAGGGACATTGGTTCAATTCCTGGGAGAGGCCTGAGTGAGAGAGGAAGTAGGAGGCTTAAAACATTTTTATAGGAAATACCTAAATGTACGTCTACACTGTGAGACAAAATTGAATTAAGCTACACAACTTCCGCTGTGTTAATTGGGTAGCTGCAGTCGAAGTAGCTTAACTCAGCTGTTGACGCTGTGTACACAGCTGGCAGTGGAGGGAAGAGCGCTCCGCCTCCTACTTCCCTTACTCCTCCTGCAATAAGAGCTACTGGCACCGACAGAAGCCACCCCTCAGTTCGATTAGCTGTCTTAACTCGACCGCTAATTCGAACCCTTGGAGATCGACAGCGGCAGCCTCCATCATCTCTGCAGTGTAGACACATCCCAAGTGTGTCTCTGCTATAACAAAAACCCAGGGCTGTGTGTTAGGCCTGGGGATGTTGTGGGCAATATGGCCTCCTAAAATCTCCCCTCTCTTCTCCCTTCCCCCACCAGACACGCTGCCCGCTGCGCTGGAGAGAGCAAGAGGACCTTTTAGACAGGGTGAGGTTTCAAGTGGCGAGTGAAAACATCGTCCTGAGCTTGTAGGTCAATTCACCAACCAAACCCCCAGTGACCACGGCAGGCAGAGCCCCAAAACCTGCCCACTGAGCGATGAGGAGACCCAGGGGCACTGGAGCAGAAGGACGAGGGGCCGTGTCCTGTCCCCTGTAAGAAATGGGATGGTCGGACCCCCCACTTCTTACTATGGGCACAGTTTGCAGGCAGGGGGGCACCTTCTTCTTCCCTGTCCTGGCCCCTCCCAGTGACCCCATTCCAGACCCTCTTCCCCAGAGGCCCTGCCCCCGGCCAGGCCAGAAGCCAGAGCTGGGCTCCCCACATTGAGCCCAGCTACCCTGAGGAGCCCTGAACCCTCCACTGCCCTGGGGGTGACTAATGCCCAGGCCCTGCTCTCTGGGGTGAGGCGGCTCTTCCCCCGCACTGCCCCCTCCCCTCTGTGCCCTGGGCGGGGGGTGGAGGCTGCAGCAGGGGAGGGAGTTTCCCTCTGGGGTTTCAAGCTGCCTCCTCTGCCCCCCCCCCAAACCCTCCTGCTCCGGGCCTGGCCCTGGGGATGGAGCAGCCCCGGCCCCCGCCGCGG